TATATATATATATATATATATATATATATATTAATAAAATTAATAATGAAACCAAGTCAATGAAGACATAGAAACCGATATTGACGCGTCGAGAAATAAAAACTTCTTACATTATTATTTCTTTATTTATTATTTCTTTTATAATTTAATACAAATATAATTTTACCGCATCTCATTGATCTACACCAAAAGCGTAATTGCACTTGATGACGATTTAAATTAATTATATATAACCAGTGAATAAAACTCGCTAACAAATACATAGAATATACGTCAGAAAATACGTATATTCACTGTAATTTATGCGAGCTTTGATTAAGCTTTGGAACGACCTACGGAAATTAGCGTGCCAGTTAGTGTGTTAATGGTATGATTAAACGTGATGACATCAATTCGTCCACATCGCGCAGAATTTATTAATATATATTAATATAATTAATATAATTAATAAAATATACACCTGAATTATCCACTAAACATCCACTTGTTTTACTAATCAAACGGTCACCGTTCTGTCACTTCAGGAAGTAACTAACACTTGATGCTTCTCTACATGCGTACTTCGAGAAATGCCAAATCCTTCTGAATTCCGAATGTAGCACGTCTGCGTTTATAAGTATCTCCCTTCCAGAAAAGGTCAAGGGATGTTCTCAGTTGCAGTGGTAGGGAAAGTCGGCTTCTCATTGACGCGTCCTCATGTCCACTAAACGCATCCCCATGTCCATTAAATGTCCATTGTTAGGGGTTTTCGGAATTTTAGATGAATAATTAATAAATACAACGCATAAGTTAGACGTAACGCTATATTACTGCTAATCACTAGCGTAATCAAATCCGATAAAAAGACAGTACGAACGATATAGAAAAAACAGACTAAAATACGGAGCATATGCATGCGTAACGAATATTTACATCAATAGATCAATGGATTCGTAGTTATATTGTTATATATATTATCCAAAAATGTTCTGCGGGCACTTTTGAGTGTGGAGTTTATTGCCAATATTTACGCACGAATACTTACATTTCAGCATTTCTGGCCGTGTCATTTTTATTTGAACAATGTTATATATCATGAAAAGTTCGATAAATAAACTTCGAAGAATTTTACAACTTCTAAATTCCGGGAAATTACATGAATAAATTGTTCGAAAAGTCCAAAGTTAAAATTCGAATATTCTCTAATACACCTCAACATTATCAAGGCATTATATTACTCTTTATTAGCATAATAGATAATATTCTAATAGCCGTTATCGTGGTGATAAAATCGTCACTTAAAACGTCGTTTATAACTTTGGCTATATATGATTTTGTCCGATTGTTGTGTAATCGGGAATTACATTATGACGATATCTTGAAAATGATGTTGAGTCAGGTAACATATAATAATCATTAGTTTTTCTCTGAGCGAAATGTAGAATTAATATTTCGAACAGTACTAATTAATCACTCAAGAGCTGAGAGGAGTCACAAGAATATATAATCAAAAATATCGAAGAAGAAGAAGAAGTTAATGCAACGGATTTTTTCTTTAAAGTATTATCTTAAGTATCATTAGTAATCATAAGTTATCATTAATCTTTGTCTAAAACTTCTTTTTTCTATGCAAATTCCCTATATAGGACTGTAAGAAATGTACATAGAACATTATGTAAGAAATTTATATAGAACATTATTTGCAGAAAAGTTTGGAAACTCACAGTATTTAGGTCACATTTGTAGAATAGATTTCGGTTCCGGACATTCAAGAAATTTAGGACAAATGTCGACAACGACTATTCATGTTGCGTTACGCAACACTTTCTTTTATATTCGTAACAATTCTTGACACTGACCGGACCCCTTTTCCCGACTTTTAAGAAATCCAGCCGTTCTTTAAAGGAAAACGTGATGTATGAATATAAAGAGAAGCTAAAGGGTAGAAAGGTAAGAAAAAATAAGAAGGGCAAGAACGAAAATTTACATATCGTAACCGTAATTGTTTTCGTCACGGCTAGTCCTTCTAAAACTGTCACTTTCAAAGACAGTTTTAGAAGAAGTTATTAATGATTCAAAGAGTTCGAAGTGTTATTAGTGATTCGGTGAAAGAAAAATGCACAAATGTTGCCGCATATGCGACCAATCTTCTAGACCTAGGAAACCCTTCGAAGTTAGTCGACAACAATTCGTTGTTTCCTCTGACAATTTCTCTTTTGTGTGCGTTATTTTTATTAACACAAATTGTACTCGCATACGTATCTTTTCAACGTATATAATAAAAAGTACTGATAATAATAATTATTATTATAATTACGTAGATCCATATATATCGAGCGGCTACGTCGCGAGCGGCCGTGCGAATCTTCCCGTTTTCCCATGATGCAGCTTCTTTCTGCTGAAGATATTAAATTTTAAGAAAGGACCGCGACGGAAATACGAGGAGGGGAGCGAAGATCGTCAGCGCAAAGGAGCAGTTATTCCTGATACGACGCTGTTACCTATGCCGGTGTCCCGCGATCACGCCAAATTTAGTCGTCCGTTCCGAGCCGGATTAAAGCGTCTTGTCATCCATAGAAAAGCACCCCGGCGTTCAATTCACCGCGTCGCCCCCTCTTTCTCGTGTATACAAATTTTTGCTCTTTTGGCTGCATAACCCACATTTCTATAGTGGCCGGTGGACGGTCGCAACCCGTTATTTGCGATATTTCCCCGTGGCCATCGGACCCCGTGACGGATGAATGCGCCCGACTATTTGCATCTGCTCGCAACGCGCGTGCGAGCGTACTTTGTAACGGTATCGAACGAACCTTTACTGTCACTTTTCTCGAAATTTCTCAATTTACTTATCACAGAACAGCCGAACATAAACGATGTCGAAGTATTCGTAAATGTCAACAATCGCGGAGCGATGAATTTCCTCGGTACAGCGCTGATTTTCTCCGGAACAGCGATAGTAATAATCGCTAATAGATAAAGAGTGGCTATAAAAATTCACGATAAAAGTCCATTAAACTGAAACTCTATCCCCCCCCCCCCTGTTTATATTACTTTCCTTATTATTCGAGGAGAATTCGCTATTCGTTGATCGAATTAATTTCTTCAATTACTTTTTCAAACATCTGCATTACATATCATATATATTTGAAATGTACGTATTTAATAAAACTCATTTCGTGTGATCTAACTGCTTTCTCAATAATTTATCTATATTTAATAAGCTAACGGAAACTTTATCTCGTCTATTTTGTAATCGACTAAGTGATGAAAAGGTGATTGGTAGTGAAAGCAATATATCACGATCGATACAATCGGGACGTTCCAACTGAAGAATAAAAATATAAATAGGAACACGAGACTCAGATCGACGTATAAAAATTAGATAACGGGTTGAGAGGTTTCTGATACTTCTTTCAGTTTTCTCAAATAATTCGGCATATTACTAATTAGTATTATTAGAATAGAAACGAAACTATTGCGTAATTATATTCGATCGCGTCGCATCGTTGCGGTTACATCATCAGTCCTGATCTATTATGGAACAGATTTCAGGTATCTTCTTGTCCTAAAAATACATATTCAGTCGTTTCGGAAAAAAGGAAAACTCGCGTCCGGGAAGTGTCAATAGACTTCAGTCCAGATTGCGGTTGAATGGATTCAAAGGAAAAAATGACTCAGCAATTTTAAAAACCCAGCAAATTTGAGACGTTCTTTCCTTTTTAACGTAACCGAGCCGTTCACATTTCCGTCGGTTGTTACGAAATTATTTTAACCGCCTGATGACAGTTTTCCCGAATAACTTGCAGCCTCCTCGATCTCCTACGACAACGTTAGAAAGTAAAAATAAGAAATTTTCCACGAAAACTATAAAATCAGACATTTGTAACAGCGAGTCATAGAAATTCGAGAGAATAGCGAGGGAAAGAATCTCGAAATTGAATTCTCTCTTTGCTGTCAATCGACAGGAGGAAGAGAACTCTACGAAAGGAACATCGCATGTTATGAGAAAACTGATTAAAGCTTTACTCATTTTTCTTTCTCGCTCCGTTTGTTGACCCGTAAGTGCAATTTTATATGGTCATTAGCAGCGGGATCGCCGTAGGAAGTCCGAAAACATCTGCGTCTTTTAAACCCCGTTAGAATTCAGTAAAACTCATCGTCAGGAGCCACCCTGACCTTCGACAAAAAAAAGGCAGGGAGAGGGCGAGGAATTCTGTTGTCGCAGTCAAGACGTTTTGGGGCAGATACACAGACACACTGGTGGTAATTATTTCTCAATTTATCTTGTCGGTGGACCACCGACTAAGTATTACCAACACAGACCTCGGGGAGTGTTAACTTCCGGAGTCCGGTAGCCGCACGGGTCGTATGTCTCTTTCGCTCCCTTCGAAAAAATCTTCCCCTCTCTTTCTCTCTCAGACGCTTTCTCATCCCGTTTCTACAGCATTGGCGATCACGCCCCTCGCACTTCATGCATTTTATTTCTCGACGGAACTCTTTGTAGATCGATGAAGATGGATCTGCTCGACGCGCGAGGCGGGGGCGTTGTGTACCGCAGAAAAGTTACACTCGATTTGAGCTGAAACGTTAGGGAATGTCGCGAGCATAACGTCCGCGACGGAGGGCCCCCGCCTTAAAATTTAAAAACTTATTTAACGAGCATTATCACACGATGATGCACGATTACTCTCGGGGTAATTTGAAAAAGTTTCTCCTTTTATTATCGTGCAAATATCCGAGATACAGAATATACTTCTCTAATCTGATCAAATTTCTTAATTTTTAAGAGACATTTGCACCTCAGCTATTTGAAAACCGAGAAGTGCACGTAAATGTTTAACTCTTTGACGGTCGCATTCGTCGCGGAAAAGTTTCCGACGGGCGGATTTCGAGAGTTCGCTTAGACCTTGTCTAAAGAGACGAACATTCCCCTTGCACATAAATCCGTAAATCTATCTATGCGCACCTTGTGATATTACGATTATAGATTATTACAAATATTTCTTTCCATGGAAATGCTGAGTGAGGTCACATATATGTAATAGCCGCAGTTAAGATGTTAAAATACTAGAACACTATACTTTTCCATCGAAAATCGTGGCAAAGAAACAACTGTAAACTACGGTGTTTTCCAGAAAACTTCGATACGTTTGAATTCATCCAAATCATTTTTCATTCTCAGCAGAAAAACATAATATTCCGTTTCAATGTGCAGAGCTGACTTAAATGAACGAAATATGCGAAAAGAGCTTTTCGGTACGACTGTTCCGCCTTCAAGAGAAGAAATTGAAAGAAAAGGACATGCAAAATGTTATATGTCTAAACGACTGTTATATTTTCAAAAGAATTCAAATAAGTGACGAGGAAACGTTTCTCACTGTCGTACGATGTTACTTCAACTCTTTACCGTTCGGCTTAGTAATCTGACACCGAATACTCGTAAAAGTCCCGATGATCGACAACGGTCCTGCTGCTCTTTTATACTTTAAATATTTTACCTGCTAACTTAAACCACGTTATGTGCTTTACTGATTTTCTTACACAATAAACATATATAATAAAATTGTACGTACACATTGATCACAATAAAATTATATCATCTTCGTAAGATCAATGTCGACTGCAAACGTCGAAAAATCGTCGTGATGTCGGCTTTCCGCAAAACGGAGCGAACGAACGTATGAAAGTTTAATTAAACACGCCGACACACGCCTCGTGCCGATTAGCTTCACCGTCATCCCTTCGGACGACCATACGCGTATCTAATAGGTTCTCATTCACACAGTACGACTAATGCAGAATATCCAACTGTACTGAAAACATGTATTGCATACAAATCGAGAAAGGGAACGAGCGGAAGTTCGCAAATTTTCTCCTAAATAATTTCTATATTTAATAGAGGAAATAAATAAAAAGCTGCACACTCACGATTGGAAAGTCGTCCTTAGCTCTCGAAAACGATTGTAAAACTGATCGGAGGATGAAGAGCGCACACGGAGAGATTTCAAATGCGTTCGTTGCGACGACTGTTTTATTCGTTCACGACGCAAGAACCTCTTTCTTTCTTTGTCTCCGCCGAGGTGGGGATTCAGGTTGAGAGCCAGCCTCCCCAAAACACCGAGATGTTGGTCAGCATGTCATATGGTCAATAGCCGATGGCCGTGTGGGTGGATAGATGCAGGGTGCAGATGCGCAAAGTCCGCGCCAACAACCCTTCCGTAATAACGCCGCGGAGAACGGAGGCTGTGTGTCACGACCCTTTCTCCGTCGTGACATCCCGATACCGGACTGCATTATTCCCTGTGTCAAGGGACGCGTGGTTCGCCTAACGGTAAACGAAGGTGCGGCACGGTGCCTGTAAAGTGTGTCAAAGGGACGAGCATTTGCAGGACTCCATCCAACCGTGGAAATCGTGTCGGAACCCGAAAATCTCAATCGCGTTCGTACGACCGCTTCTCGTCATCCCGTTATGCAAAATAGATAAATATCGATTGCGATGATCTTAACGATACTTTTAATTTTTCGATTATAAAATCATGTGAGATTTCTCGAATTTTGCGAAGGAAAAGTTTACCTCCCGCTGTTGCAATGAGTGTGAATCCCAGATACTTTTCAGTTAACTGTTAATTAAAATATGAAATTCCCGAAGAAGAATCAATAAAAAAGGATACCGCTCCGGTTTTCGGGAATCAACTGTTGCTGTTTCACTCGTCATACGATTCGTGCATAATTAACAAGAGCCCAGATAATGATGATATATTCAACGATTTTTTCATCCATAGAAGATGTTTTATTTACAGAAAATTCGACGTAATTTTCTGACGCAGTCAGACATAACATATAACGATAGCTAATGAACTGTTCAAGCTTATTAAGTTATGAATTATGTGCTCTTAATTACGTGAGGTAAATCGTACTTGCCACGCACACATTTAATTTTGACACCGGGCGTATCTTGCAGTCGTCCGACTCTGCACAGCACTATGTTGTGTTCTTGCAGATTGTGGCCTATTCCTGAAATAATTCAATATACTCTTGTGTGGATGGAAAAAAATAACAATTTAGTATAACTAAGTGTTCCGTTGCTTAGAGATCAGATAAAAAATCAGATAAAAATATAGGAACCAAAAAGTTTCTGTAGGAGGTTTTTTACTCAATCAATTGTTTTCAGTTGTCTCAACCGAGTTTTAGTGCAGCTGAATGCTCTCACGAATGTTATCACTCGTGATAACTAAGATATTACTTGTCGTCGAGTTTTCATTTCTTGTCATCAAGTTTTTATTCGGTCCCTATTCTATTACAGGAACTGAGTTCTTTTTTGCCATGTAGTCCGCGAAACAGCATCGAATTGTCTCAGCGTGTCTTAACGCGATAATTCGACGGGCGTAAATATCGCTTATTTATCAAGCAACCAATTCTGAATCTCACCTGGCACATACGCCGTCATTTCTTTGCCGTTTGATAATCTCACGATTACGCATTTTCGATTTGCAGAATTAGGTTTTTTAGGCTTCTTAATGACGGTTTTCAAGACTATGCCTTTCATGAATGGATTGCCATCTAAGGGATTCTTCCTACGTTTAACTTTCTTACGTGGGCCTGCCTTGTGAAGTTTCCACAATATTGAGCATGGTCTGATCTGTGATATACCTGGATCAACAGAAGCGGCTATACAATCACTTTTTACAATTGCGTAAGAAAGTGGGCAAAAATTAAAATACCTTATAAAAACAACTTGAGAGATAGCAAAAGCTCGCGGATATACAGAGTGAAGCAAAAGTGAATGAGTACATACAAAACAAATCTGAATACAGTCGAATATCTCGTAAAAGATGCAATTTAAAAAAAAAATGTTTCAGGTAAAAGTTGTAGGGTTAAGGAAGACCTATTTATCGATCTTATCAAAAGTGTCAGAGGTTTATTTAACATCTGCGATAAATAAGAAAACTGGAACTATTCAAAAACTTCAAGTCTTATGGGATATGACAGATTTGAATTTGACATTTAATTGCAAATATATATGATCATACATTTCCTTGTTAAACCTCTAATCAAATTTATTCTTTTTTTTAAACTTCTAATTGTATTTTTTCCACACCATGAATATAATTAGACAATAACTTCCAGCGATAGTAACATTTAATACACGTAAGATGTCGTTTCTTAGGAAAGAGAATTTAAAAATTTACAACTTTCGCTTAGGTATATTTTTAAGGCCAAGTTCGCTTCTAATCGGTGTGATCGGTGGAAAAAAATTTGTTACGAATGATCATTCCTTAAAAGTGAAAAGAGAGCCGACGGTGACGTGCCGAATTCAGCGATCATCTCTTAGCCCTACTATGACGTAGAATGGGATTCGTCCAAACGAAATTGTGCCATTGTTGTTCGTTTCGAGACTCAACTGACCACAGTGGTCAATACGACAGATGTCCAGAGTCTGACGCTGCTAATCCGACCTAACTCTAGGCATAACTAAGGCAAGAGACCAGCAGTGAGAGAATCCATTATGCGTGAAAGGCAAACCCCTTTTTCCAGAGATGAATGCGCAAGATTACATTGCGAAAACCTTAGGCATCACTGTTGCGCCTTTTGTGGCCTTCTCGCGTTCCTCCGCGAAATTTCGAAGAAATCTTTATTATGGTTACGATCTCACGAGAAAAAATGCAAGTTTAAGGAGTTCCCGTGGTTTCCGATCCCATGTAATCCGATACCTAGTAAACGTAGAATCGGCATGCATTGCGTTAAATTAATTTTATTTACAGCCTTAATCACGTTTAACGAGATTTGAGTTTAGCATCTGAACAGTTGTAATCCTTCGACCAAGAAGAGCAATGTACGAATTTTCACGATTCTAAGGATTCCGTAACCTTGAAACGTGTTTCTTCTCGTAACATATATATATATTCCTTTCTAAAGGTTTTTTAACATAATCTACATTAAACGATCATAAAAAATAGATTGTTATAAACGATCATAATCACAAACCAGATAAATTAAAGATATAAAAACAAATTTACCCAGCGCATATAGTTTTCTGCGAGATTATCGGATTAACTAAATTCCCGATCCTGATAAGGCAACACGCTTGCTTGCGTTCTCACGAGCGCCTCATGTGTGCCTCGCGCCCTTTGTGAGGGTCGTAAGAAAAGCGAAAAGGGGTATAATGCGGAAACGGTGTGCTCGTACGGCTGATCTACCCCGTGACAATTGGACAACCGCAAATGGACACGTCACCCCCTCAATTCCCAGCGATTTTCGCTATTGGTCACACATTGGGGCACCGCCTTTACGCTGCCCGAGCCCTTTCTTGCGAAGTGGCCGGATGGATCTCTTTTCGAACTTCGAAACGAGCTCTTCGTCCGCGCTTATGAAAGAGGTAAAGGCTGCGCGTATTTCCGCAACGAAAGAATGCTAGGACGATAGGAAATTTGGTTCCTTTCGGAGCTTGTCCCCTCGATCCCGCAGTCGGACCCGAGAAAAACGCAGATATGTATCTGACAAGAGACACCTTTAGAGTCTCGAGACGCTACTGGACGGTCCTCGAAAAGAGCAGCTCGGTTACAGAAGTGCGAATAATACACCTGGCATCTCGCGCGATCTCACGTAAATAGATTACTAAATCGACGCAGATTTATCTTAAATTTTAATATTTGCTTGTTACACATATCCGCCATGTAAATCATAAAATTTCCTCTTTGCTTATATATTATACATACAAATACATATTTTTCATATAATTCGAAGACACCTGAATTTAAGGAAATAATTCAACAAATGATTCAACATTAATTTAACAAATGAAATCATCAAATTATTCGTCTCACATATAGGATGTCTAAAATATTGTATATTTATCATTACTCAACATATCTTATAATAATTTTTCATTGCAAATAATTATCTGCATCTTTCTTGGCTAATAATTTAAAGCAATTAAGAATAATAAAGAGTTATAAATTAGAAAGTACTACTTTAATTTTTATAACAATTTAGAAATTGTATTACCTTGCAATGTTGTATTCATACATATTCTTGCAGCGTTTAATATGCTCCCTGTCAAATACAAAATTTTAATTCATTAATATATAATCTATGGAATCAAATTTTGGATTAAGTTTCTAATAGCATTATTTAGGAAAGGTTATCTAAAAATAATATGCACAACTTAACAAGACAATTTACCTTGAACATAATTGCTCCCATAGAATTTTGTCAGACTTGATTGACTACCTGAAACACATCAAAACAGATTCTTCAAATAGAATAAAATATTAAAATAATTGCATAAAATATAGGAATAGAGCTATATATGGTTGTACTTATATCTGTAAAATATTGCGTATTACAATTAGATTTTAGAATTTTTGTACTAAAGTGTTCTTATGATTCATATAACTAAACCCACCACATTTAATTGTTGTACTTATTGTTCATGCAAACTGAAGAGGGTTCAAATGTGAGGAGCGAAACATTTGTGTTTACATTCCTTATTTGTATATTTATAAATTCGATCGCGCATAAACATTATTATGCTCTTATTTTGCTTTTCTTACTTGGCTCTCGTTTACTTTTCTTTCCTTGTTTTGCACTTACAAAATTTGATCTCAGTTATTAGGTTAGATTAAATTATAAGTTATAAATTAGATTTTATAAACAACGCCACCATGCAACAAACGTACCTTGAATGGAACTTGCTATGCAGGTTCTTGCTATGTTCACGCTTTTAGCCAGAAAATTCATAATTAATGTAATAATCGAACTTTTCTGACGTTAACTTAACCTCACATAGTGTTATTGAAAATCCCTCTCACCCCTTGGTCGATGTAGAATACCAGCGGCTGGTCTGCCTCCTTATTCCTAGTGGCGAAAATCTGAACTAGATATGGACGATAAATCGATATTCGAGACTCTTGTTCAATTTCTCATTTGCTGGAGAATTGATATAATTGTTTTTACCGAAGTTATATCTTTATAAGTTACATATCTTTCGATTTTTATCTATGTGGCGTAGAATTTCTGACAGCCATAAGGGTTAAATTCGTCTTATACGCTTTCGTGCTGAAAACGACGTTCTACCTTTATTTCGTATTACATGTTGAAGTAAGATAGAACAGCGTAAGACGCGTTTAACCAAAGTCGTACTACTTGAGAATAAAAAGATCTGACCTGCTGTTGAATCGAAGAACGTGAAAATAAGGAAAACGCATAAACCGTCATTAAGTAGTAGTACTTAAGAGTAAAAAGATTTAATTCATTGAACTATAAAATATATAAATATGAAATATGCCTGACTTGTTGTTGATTCGTACTACGGATTCTTCGTTAAGAACAGTGGCGACTCATATCGGAGATTTTCGAATTAATAAATAACGGGTCAATAATCGTAAAGGGTATTTTAGCCGAGACTCGAACTAAATTTAGAAGAGACACAAACCTAACAAGCTTCCGCGAGACACCGCTAAGTGGCGCTAGGCGTTCCGCTAGCCAATTTCTTACCTGTCTCGCAGAACGGATCAAGTAATAAAAAGCGGGCCGATAGGTTATTATTCTAAATGTAATTACAAAGTCCCGGTTACGAATCGCTATTGTCTTTAACGAAAAATCAAGCATTTAATATGATTCAACAATAGATCAGAGAATCTATTATTTTGTTTAATTTTGCAGCTCAACAAGTTAACCGTTTCTCACCTACACACAGTACGACGCCCTTCCAAGTTTTGCGAATCAAAAATCTTATTCTCAAACAATACGATTCAACGACTGGTTAAACGTTATTTAATTTTCAATTTGTATAACTCGATAGTAAGAAAATTTGTTTTATTTTTAAGTTTTGCGACGCGCACAACGCAGCGTATCACAGAAGACGATATACTGAAAGGAAAGTGTTATGTTGAAATAAGTATTTTTTCAGTAATATTGGAGTAATTATTTTACTTTGATAAAATAAATATTACTTAACACGTTCATTGCCAAGCTGAAAATTGGAATTTCGTATTTTTTTATTTAGTTTTTATTGTGCTCAAAATAAGTTAATATATTATTTATATGCTTTTATTATTATGTACATAGGATTTATGTACTCTAAATATCTATTACGCGATAACGCGTGATCGGCCGTTTAGTGCGAACTCGCATCACGCGATATCGCGTGATTGGCAATGAACGTGTTAAATGTAGCACTTTTTTCCACATTCAAACAATATTTACTTAATACTAGTAAAATAATTATTCCAATATTCCTTAGTAAATATTTACTTGAATATAGCATCTTTTTCTTTCAGTAAATTATTTAGAAATAGAACGACTTAATAGCACATTAAAGAGACTTTAATGTTATGAACGGAAATCAAAGAATCACTTTTTTATTTATGAAAAATAAGCAAAATCCAAAGCGCTGTAAGTTCGGCAAAAATGATGACTATAAAATGAATTTGAATTGTCAAGTGAAGCTGTTTTCTTTAACGTCGAATAACTTCGTGAGGAGAAATCGCACTGCAATCAATACACACGCAAATTAAAGAGGAAATCCATATTGTCAAATAACACAAACGTCATTTGCGCGCTATTTATATCTAAAAACGGTATATCCAAAAACCATAGACTACAGGCTGCAAAATATTCCTCGGGCGGCCTCGTCGTCATTATTTTTGCGAAAGTTACAACCTTTCCATCCTTCAAACTCTGCTTATCTCTCTCTAACGAAGAAGAACCACACTGGCTTAAAAAAATCCAAGATTTATTCAGAAATCGCAAGAGATACAAAGCTCAGAAAAGGAGACGAGTGTTTCAATCGGGGCGAAGAGTCGGGGGGG